TGTGTGTGTGTGTGTGTGGTGGGGGGGGGGCATGGCCCTGTCTTTCTGTTCTTGCGTGTGATTGATAGTCAGTTAATGATAGGTTGTTCCTTACTGACCTTAACGAACGAAAATGATTACACAGAATCGTCACAGTATAGGTCAATTTCTGTATATTGGTCACCTGGACAAACAGACATATCAAACACAAAAGCGCTGATGCAGTACATAATAAAGCGCTCATTATCGACCTTAACCTTCGTATTCCCGACCTCAACATACCAAGAAAGTACTAGTATTATAAAAACACATCCATCATAGAAGGGCCACAGCAGTTTTTAAAAGCAACTATTTCGCTGAAAATTATGTCAGTCACGTATTGACCAAACACCAATGTCCCACTTAAAAATCAAGGCCACAGCATGTCCATAACATTAGATATCTATGTACACATCTGCAGTACCGTATAAAGGCACTAGATTACCAATAACCGGCTCTACGTTCAGCTTTACTCAACTCCCTGAGTATGACATTTTGACCCCGTCATTCTGCCTGTCAATTTTCTCCCCACCCACGTGCTGGCAACCTACTCTGTCCGGACATACACACAAACACATAGCTCAGCCACCCAAAACAATACTTCCGCACCCGGACGTAACAGGAACACTGGGCAAGATTCAGTGTAGTGCTAAGTTTTAGATCGTGAAAATATCAAATTTACGTTTACAACATTTACAGTAATGCAAAGCATTGCGTGTACGTACACATTACATTGTGTTAAAATTTCTCTGATTCCCGTATCCATAACAGCAGTTCACGATGCGAGTTACAAAGTCACATAACTCTATTCTTTATATTTATTCTTTGTAAGGCCACACCGGCTTAATTTTATGGATGACATCCGCGCTCATTAGCGACAAAACGGAGCCGGGCCGCCTGGCTACCGAAGCTCCATGACTCAAGAACTCAGTACATACGTACAGTGCCGAATCAAAAATTCCGCCAAAAGCCAGCATGTGCCGACTTGTCGTATACGTCGCATTGTACTGCCGCAAATTCACAATACCAGCTTTGTATTTCTGTGGTTTAGTAGCATTTTTAATTTTGGCCGGAATTTTTTTTATTCGACCGCGCGCACTAGTTTGGGGGTCTTCAGAGGATATCATCCATAGAATTAAGACGGTGTGGCCTGATATGACTGTATGTATAAATCTTTCTTGTAGCAAGTGTATGGCCTCGCCATTTCAGCCGCGCTGCGGTTCCATCATCAGAGAGATCGGGAAGGCCAGGTAGCTCAGGTTGGCCATGCGGCGCATGCTCAGCATCTTCCGCCACAGCTTCTTGTTGTAGGACTTGGCCCTCCTGACGGTCCGCTGGTACAGCACGAGGGACGGGGCGCCTCTCATGCCCCGACGGAGCCCCGGCACTGTTCCCCCGGAGAAGGCTGGCGGCAGGGCCCGAGCGGCTGCCGCGGTGGGCTCGGCGGTGGTTTGGGAGCGCGGCTCCGGGGTTTGGTGGGGCGTCCTTTCCGTAGTCATGCCTCCGTCTGTTAATGATAATGATAATACTGATTACTCTCCAAGCAGAGGTTGTGGGGGAATGACCGTTAGCTTTTATATATGGCCGTTTTTTTTTGTCGCTACCGTCGGTGGCCGACGACCTTCTCTGGCCAATGGATACTGTCTTGATCTGTCTTGCTACCGAAAGGGATCTCCTTGGAGATTAAATACTGATTATTACAACTAGAAAGGCAACATCCATGAATAGTTTCATCAGGTTGGTTAGACACTGAGTAAAGAGACTCTTCACTCACGCATATGTGTAGATATGTGAATATTGTACGTTTGGGAATGCATCTATAGCAGCGACATGATGCAACCCAACACTAGTTACCATGGTGACAGACGTCTGGTTCAGGTCATTGTCAGTGTTTGAAAGAAGAGAAAGAAGAGGAAACAGAGCAAAAACATAGACTTTCAGCAACCTATGATCAATTGCTCACCGAACTTCAATATGTGTGACAGGGGCGTACAGTATCTGGTGTTTTGTTCTTACCTGGTTCTTTGCGGACACCTTGTGCTTTAGTACCCTGTACCGAAGTCCCGCTCGGTTTCCCGTGAGCCTCCGCGGCGAACACAGCTATGATGACGATGAACAGCAGAAGACGCAGCATGACTGTCTGATGGGAGGATCTAAACACACAGAAATAAAGAATGTGAGAAAATTATGATCAGCGAGACAGACTGATACTGTTACGTTAAAAAAACAACAACAACAGTAAATTAAAACCTGGCTTCGGTGCGCTTTGAGCCTATGGCACCAGGTTTCAGCGCACAGTGAATCAGTCATATTATTAGCCCTGAAGAAAATGACAGACGGCCATCGAAACGTCGGCTCTTGTCGAACAAACGTTTGTGAATTAATACTTTGCTATTCTTAAATAAATTTAAAAAAATCAGCGAGACGGGCCACGGAGACAGTGGGACACAACGAGTGATGATCCAACCCCCGCGCAGATGGTTTCATTTCCGAACGGTCACGATTTTTCATCTGTGAGACTCTGATTCGAGTCAGCGAAATCACTTATTTCTAGTTTACCCAAACCACAACATCTGGCAAAGCAAGCCCACCAATTCAATGCAGAAAATTAAAGTGTCGAAATTGTTTCTTGTTGATTAGTCGTGGTGTCGTTTGTAGGACAGCTAAAAGAAGATTAAAATGATATGTACATGACCAGGACATTATGACTGGGAAACAGGAAATTGAAAGACGTGGCGAGCGGCTAGGATAGACACAATGCAGAAATGCAGAAAATTAAAGTGTCGAAATTGTTGCTTGTTGATTAGTCGTGGTGTCGTTTGTAGGACAGCTAAAAGAAGATTAAAATGATATGTACATGACCAGGACATTATGATTGGGAAACAGGAAATTGAAAGACGTGGCGAGCGGCTAGGATAGACACAGAAATCAGTATGTGGCAGTCAAACTAGTTCAGTATTAGCGGGTCAGGTGTTTGGGATCTTTGCTAATCTCCAAGCAGATCGTCGCAGTGGATGCCATACTGTATCAAATTGTATCCAATACGCCAAAACAGGTTGGCGAAAAAAAAGATACCAACGCCTAAAACACGTCAAAATAAGCCGAAGCCTTTTAAACCTCCGCTTGGAGGCAGCAGTAACACCAGCCTCACCTTTCACATTGTTTAGCCATGAGACTTTGGAGCAGCCGACGGGCCTCGGCTTCCCGTAGTCTTGACGGATCTCGACTAACTTTAGCACAACTGCATCTTCCAACCTCAGTTCTGATAACAATAGTTACTCGCCAATTGGCTACTCTCACTAGCCAATCAAGGTTTACCTATCAAGCTAATTGAAAGATCAGAGATTTTAAGATCTGTTTCTGAGTACGAGGCATCTTTGAGATTCCACGTGGCACATACATGTGTCGAATCATGCGACCGTTTGATAGACGTTTTGTCCTTGAGTAAGGCACTTAAGACTACTTTCCTCATCCAAGGTGTAAAACAGGCACCTGATAACCTTCGGAATGGGTAAGGGGTAAAAGGCGTACATGTGTACCGTGTAGTAGGCTATAGGCACAAGGGATAGACAACCTAATGCTCCTACGGCCACAAAAGGCTGTCGGCTAACAACTGAACAGTTCTAGCTAGCGCAGGTCACAAGAACAATTACTTGGTCGAGTGATCACCTGGCTCACGGAAAGCCAGCACGTGCACATAATGACCGTCTTATAGAAGTACTCCAGTTGCACGCAGAGTCGATTATTATACGATTTCTGCTTTTCAAAATCCAAAACGTGCTGCAAATGAGGTTTGAATAAACCTCCTGGCGCCTACGTCATTCTAGATAAAGGCCTGTTTTCGCAACCAAAGCCGTCATGTGCTGTACAGTTACAGTGTGGGCTGCCGTTCTTTGAATAGAAGTACTCCATACACACGTGCACCAAGTTAATAATCTGCAAATAGGTCATTTGGTGGCTGCAAGAGACAACCGAATTGGCGAGTCAGTATATCAAATTGGCCAGGCAGTTACCATTTGCCTGGCGCAAAAAAATCTCAAAAAACGTACAAAAAACAAGAAATGCCGATAAAACGCTTAAAACCCCGTCAAAATGCGCCTAGAATTAAACATCCGCTTGGAAAATACTAGTGTTCGAAGAAAATCATCTAATGAAAAACAAGTCTGATTTTTTTCACGCACTGAATGTTTCATGAGCCAAACTACTGCTGAGCACAAAAAGCCAATACGAAATAATTGAAAATGCGATAAAACTGACTTCTGAAAAAAAAAAAAGAACTATGATTCAAATCAATGCAAACTTCGATCGGATCTAAATCTATAGTATCCTCGTCTCCACCAGGCTAGTAGCGCGGGTTCAAAAACAGTTTTGGGAGGGGGATTAACCCTCCCGCGGACCGACTCTCCTGACCAGCCAGCTACCAGCTACAGTATTTCCCTTTTTTGCCGAATTCTGCTATCTATTCCCTGTAGGCAGGCCTGGTGGAGGCTTCCCTTACTACAAGAACCTTTGGTACAAAAACGACTGAAAACAGCTAGTATAAACCGTATCTAACACTGACTAGTCTTACTTACTTAATGCCAAGCTATGTCTCACCTGGACCTCTGCTGCAACTATCAAGCCTGTCTGGAGCACGGGAAAGGTACGAGACAAGATCTCCGGCCTTTTCAAACCCTGCACTAACTGGCTGATCAAGGTGAAAACGAACGCTTTTAAACCCAAGTGATGGTCTCAAAGGCGGATGAGTCACTCATTCTGATTGGCTATGACGTCAGAATTTCGTAAGCTATGCATCCGACAAAGAGAAAGAAATTGTGGCAAGAAAAGGCGCGTACGTCTGTCTGGGCTTCTTTGGAGTTATATCATCATGCTAATGAAGCGGATAAAAGCTCACGCTGGTGAACATTCTAACGTCTTGAAAGAAGTTCTCTTTCAAGCCAGGATGTGGCGTCTTTTTGCTGGTCGGTAAACTTTCAACGTCGGTGATCGCAACGTTTCTAGATACAACAGACGTTTCACAAGTCGACTCCTGCTCTCGGTGGACCATCTTAAGTAATCGTCTGATCATTTTGTCTGATTATTTTTAGAACGCAATCATCGGGCACAGCGGATGGAGGGACGGGCCATAAAGACACGGCTCAGGTTCTGAGGCATTTCAGTTTTACGTACACACAACGCATCACTTCAGCCGAAATCTAAAAATAAATAAATAAATCCCTACCTACAGATCCTATCATTTTTTCATGACTGAAATCTGATAAACAGAATTTGTCTTCATACCTAAACGACTCTAGGAAACCTGCAGAAAAAACAGGGAATTCGAAGCGAAGTGACTATAGCCTTGGTGCTAGAAGCTGTTGCCAGGGCCAGTATACAGACAAGCTCCTCGGCTGCAGGGCCAACATGTCCCCAAGGAAATTTCACCCCAGACCCCCTCAGGCAGACCCTGAACAAGAGATAAACACCGGGTGTCGACTCTGGGATCGGGGCGTGTGACTTCCCCCGGCAGAAGAGAAACATGGAAAGCTTATTACATGCCCGAGGGCTAATAATTGCAAATAGAAACAACATGTATGAAAATGAAGGTGCAATGATATGAGTGTCTACGTGATACAGCATTCTACAACATACGTGGTACTACTAGTAATTTTGTTAGGTTTGACTTCTTCTTTTCAGGCAGTGGGAGACGAATTTACCCTCTTCGCGATTGTCTATAATATGTGGGTTCTTTGATTTTAGTAGTAATTTTTTTCTCTCTAGATGAGGAATAGTGGGAAAGTAATGATACAATTTGGACACGACGGTAAATAGTTGGTTTCTGATATTAACAGCTGGCGTCAGACATCCAGGCTACATTGACTAACAAAAATAATAGACACTGACTTACCTGTAAGAAATATGAGAAAAAACTTGTGAAAAAGACGACCTCTTCCCTTGGTGTCTTCACCGCTGGCTGCGAAGAGTCGCGATCTCGGTCGGACATACTGTAATTCCTGATTTGTTCACTATACTGATATATTCACTGTTTTCACTGTCTCTTGTGTACAGTGAACTTATCATTACAGTTAACAAATAATTCCTGGACTTTTCTTTGTCCCGCACCTGTCACCACCGTGAACATATAGTTATGTGAACATGTCCATTTCTCTCAGACCGTGAAATTTTGCTACCGTGAACATAAAGTGAATTACAGTATATAGAAACCCGCAGTGCGTGGGCAGATGAGCATCGTGGGCAGCGCATCAAATAATTTAAAAGAACTGACGCGTACTTGTAATGTTGTTTTCGTACTTGTGATGTTGTTTTCGAAGTAGGATCATTCGTGGTCATGGAGACAAAAATACAGACTTTGCTAATGGACACTCGAGTTTATAAAATGCAAATTACGTACTTGTAATGTTGTTGTATTGTGTCACGCACGCTGGCTGGGGTCCGACATCCAGGCTAATCGTCTAGCAATAAGGTCACCGACTTACCTGTAAGAAATCTGAGAATTCAGTCGGACTCTTCACCTCCAGCTCCGGATCCGTGTCAAGAGTCACTGTGTTATTGAAGACCATAGTGCGCGGGCAAACGAGCTTCGTGAGCAGCGCATCAAATAATTTCAAAGAACTGACGCGTACTTCTAATGCTGTTTTCGTACTTGTGACGTTGTTTTCGAAGTAGGATCATTCGTGGTCATGGAGACAAAAATGCAAACTTTGCTAATGGACACTCGAGTTTATCACATGCAAATTTGTTCACGTGTCTGGGGGCGACCAAACTACAATCATTAGTTTGACTAATCTCCAAGCAGATATTTAGGTGGCCGCAAAAGACAACAGTATCAAATTGGCTAGGTAGTATCCATTGGGCAGACTGTGGCAAATGGATTCTGTCTGGCCAATGGATACAGTCTGGCCAATGGATACTGCCTGGCCAATTTGACACTGTCTTTTGCGGCCACCTAAACATCTGCTTGGAGATTAAGTTTGACGTCCTGTAGCAAAACATTTGATATTAAAGTGATATTATAAACTCATTTTCTGAAATGAGATACGATATGTTATAATAAGATTAGAATGCCGTGCCGCGTCCAAAATCACCATGGAGCTAACAGATTAAGGTGTATAAATGTGACAATTATGGGAATTCGACGTAAACACTAAACGTCATGTAATATGATGTGACTACAGCGAAAAAATGGACAAGCGTCATTGTTGAATTTGTTGAAATGTAAAACATCTAGCATGGTGCCATCATCTGCAAAGTGTGCAAACTGAAGCTAGTTGATTTTTGATAGACCCACAGCGCCGCAGTTAAATGGACAGTCGGCAAAGATACTAAAAAACAACAGTTTACCATGCTGGGTATCTGTTCAATAGTCCAATTCACATTTCCCAACGAAACTTCTCATATTTTTGTCTGTAGTCAGGTCGATCATTTACCATTTCTTGAAGTTGCACCGCAAAATTCTCACAAATGTCATTTTCATACCCCTGCAGGCGATAGGCGTTTGACGTGTGCAATTTGCTGTTACGCAGAGTATATTCTCTTGATCGGATAAAAAAGTTATTAGCGCTGCTAAATTTAAAACAGATGTAGGATGAAACGTGGTGAGCAATTTGGATCACACGCTTGGCCAGTGCAGTAAAGATACAACGCAAATATAACACGCACAGACATACACACACGCATGCATGCACGCGCGCACATATCCTCACACACACATATCCTGACACACACACACATCCTCACACACACACACATACGCTCCACTCACTTTTTGGGCGACCTTCCGGGCAACAAATACGGGTGAATTTAGCTCAAGGTCCTCGGCAGTGAGATGTCTGCTTGACGACAAACGAGTGAATGTGTGGTGCGGCAAGGGAACTCACGACATCTCTTGAGTGAACAACTGCTGGGAAATACACGTGCAGGCTATATAGAATTTTACTTCAGGGCACGTGTGGTTTACGACAACTGAGTGAAAGAAAACTTGAGTGTAGGAGGCAAGGTGGCTTACGACGCTATTTCACCATTATATGATAGGAAATCCACGTGGTGGGTACATGGAACTGTACTTCACGTGTGTTGTACCCGAATACAACGTGAGGGACTAACACTAACAGCAAACGCAACTACACATACTCTGTGACATAGGTCATACGAATAAACGTAACACAGCCAGCCTTGACACTTAAATTGTTTGTAGCTTAGGTAGAGATATATAGAATTCAATACAAGTTATCCAAATTAAGACTTATTTAATAAAGAGGAACATTCATAATTAGTCCATATTCAATGGTTGAAATTTCACACTTTTGACACATATAACTTGATAGGGAAGGAACACCAATACAACATGAAGATCATATTCATTATATTTCATTTAAAAAATTAGTACATGATTTGTATAACAAACTACCTAGTGCTATAACGTTACTACCTAAGTGGAACATGATTTCATACTTGATAAACGTGAGTTAGATAGAGGCAAACATAATTAGCTAGCTACAACCTATGCAATTAAGATGTCATTTGCATGCTTAAGGAAAAAGTGCTTAACAGCTTTCTCTTTCATACTTGTGATATTTCTCACAAATAGTATAAACCATGTAATTAGGACTTTAGTTACATGTTAGAGTAGAGGATGCATTTTATAATCCTCTGTGGTACAAATATAAAATAGAAATTTCATACTTGTTGTGACATGTTAAGTACATACAAAAATATTAGTTTGAATGATGCAAATGAGGGCACCATTTTTGTAACAAAAAGGCAATGACCTCTTACTTTTAGACTAGTGTCTGGAGTCATATATTATGGGAAAAACTATCTGTCAGCCTTCTCAAAAAAATTTAGAGTAGGTGGCTGATAAGAAAAAGTAGCAGGCGAGCCACTTCGTGGCTCGAAGCGAGCCGCGCAGCGGCTCGCGGGGGGAGGGTACGGGAGGGGGGTGGCCCCCCTCCCGTTGGGGGGGTCCGGGGGGCCTCCCCCGGAGGAAATTGTAAAAATTAGACCCCTAAACATCGTTTTTGGTACATTCTGAGCAGCTTTTATGGCAATCTTAAGGGTCCAAAATTTACGGTTCGTGCACAAACTTGAAACTTGAAACAAATAATTCCGGAAAAAGGCTGTATTAAAAAATTGTTTGCCACTCCGATCGTATTACGCGCGGTCCTTGCGCCCGGCTACAAAATGCAGGAAAATAAAAAAGGCATATTTAAATGTCAATTTGATCGAAAACATAATCATTGGGATCTGAAAAAATGTCACAGGTTCGCTTTTTGGAAGTTTTGTTTCTGTTTTGACGGTTTAATTCTAGCGGGGTGCGCTCCATAAATGCCCGATAGAAATTCACCCCGCGTCCCGGTACACTGACTTCCGGGTTCCTTGAACAGGAATATTACGAGAAAAAGGCCAAAAATCGGCGTAGAGAAATATATATCTTCCCGAAAATTCTTTTAATTATGCATTTCTTTAATAGGATGTTGCTAAGTAGTCGTAGAAAAAACGTAGAAAGCAGCGTAAATGTGTCTCTCTTCTGCATCGACGAAGAAAAATTCTTCCCGCGCTGCCTGCTGCTGGCTATATCGCTTATCCAATCAGAACGCAGGTCATGTGAGGTGAACCTCGATCTCACCAATCAGAGCGTCGATCGCGCTGTGCTACTTACTTATTCATGACAAGATGGCGCCCGAAAGCTCCTGTTTTTGTACAGCGATGGGGAGTGTGCGTTTTTTATTCCGGGGTTTTCTTAGTTTTGACGCTGATTTTTGGCTCGCCGTGATTACGCTACAAATGACACACTAGTGGAGACAACAGATGAGTGATCATTTTACGATCGACAAGAACTTTTGATGAATGAAACAGCTGTGAAATCTCGCTGATGGCGATTTGTTTTCGAAAATTTGTCTCGTGTTTCTAACTGTGTATGAAAGATACGAACACGCTTCTGTACATGTCTTGATATTTTTTTGACGTGATTCGTACTAGTTATTTGTAGCAGGAATACTACTAGTGCCGGGAGAAGTTGGGAAGGTAGCGGCTTGATAAATTTTCGTGAGCAACTAGTTTACGAAGCAAGTTCCGCCTAGCTCGAGCGATACAGCTCCGCCGATTCAACTCGAGCCCCGAACAAGACCCTCCCCCGTAAAGTTTCGGCCGCTCTGGCCGCGGGCCGCTGAGAAGCAAACGATGACTCGTGCACTAGAAATCTGCACAGGAGGCTAAGAAAGAAGCAGTTTTCAGATCCAGAAAGCTAGCAGAAAATTGTCTGAAGTTCGTCAGAAGAAATGAGCCGGTGGAGTTTGTGAGAAAATGTAATGGAGACTACATTGTTTTTCTGAAAATTTACACGAAAGTAGCCGGCGCAAAAATTTGAGTAGGCGGCGATTTTCGCCGGTAGCCGGCTTGTTTTGAGAAGGCTGTCTGTCAATAATAAATAGCAGGAAAAACAATGTTAATTGAACCTCCTTGCATCATTGACCTGATGATATGGGCCAATGTTTGGGTTAGTACAGGAAAGTATAGAATATGTGTAACAATGTTATCAGTATAGATACATTCTATATTCCAACTAGAACAAAAACTAAACATATAAACGTAAACATATAAAACTGAACATATAGCGTTATGTATATTTCCCACAAGAAAGACGGGATGAACTTTTCCTAGTGCTCGATTACATTATACTTGTTCACAGTGTGATCTGCACATGTGTGAAGTTAAAGTTGAATGTTCCTAACTTGTAAACAGTTCTTGTAAACACTAGTGCTTGCATGCTAGGTACCATTTCCACTGGTGTTTTGCTAATCATTATGTCGCAGGAGCCTTCAACTTTCAGTTTTCAGTCACGTTCTGAGGCAGTCACAGTTCTGAGGCAGTCACAGTTCTGAGGCAGTCACAGTTCTGAGGCAGTCACAGCACTGCTAGTTGGGGGATGCCCCCCCCCCCGAGAGACACAGGAGAACAAAAATGGTAGACTTGTCTTCGATGTCAGGAGCCTTCAAGTTTCAGTCACAGTTGTGAAGCAGTTAGTTATGAAGCAGTCATCGTATTGCTAGTAGGTTTGGGGCATGCCCCCGAACATCCCAAGAGACGCATGATAATGTGAAGGGTAGACCCATCTCTGAGATTATAGTCAGACAGATATTTGCCCATGCCATACTCCAGTTGCTTGCATCTGTTTTCTAATAAGACGCGGCATAATTTTAGAGGTATTTTGCACTTCTCACTGATCTTCCTGTACAGTGTGTCCACTGTGGCATCCTGCAAGAAGAGATGAAAGGTGTGAGTATGAATAAGGCAGACTCTTAATACACATCACAACATCAAGAACTTTACAATATACCGGTTCACAGTTGGTCTGCGCATGTGTGAAGTCAAAGCCGAAGGTTCTTAAATGTGTAAACAGTTCTTGTTGAGACCACTGCAAGATTCTATTTCCACTGGTGTTTTGTTAATCACTATGTCTCAGGAGCCTTCAACTTCCAGTCACAGTTCTGAAGCAACAGTTCTCAAGCAGTCACTGTACTACGTAGATGGTTGATACGCAGGAGAAGAGAAAGGGTAGACTCGTCTCTGATATCATAGTCAGACAGATATTTGCCTCTATCAAAGTCCAATTGCCTGGTTGAGTATATGATGCGGATTGATTCTGGAGGTATGTGGGTCATTTTGGTCTTCACTCTGATCTTCCAGAACAGTTTGTCCACTGTGGCATCCTGCAAGAGATGTGTGACTCACTGAGTATGAATGAGGAAGACTGCTATGGCAGATCACTATTAGTACTAGTACTCACAGGTTGGCAGTTAGTTCTGTCATAACCTGCTTAAAAAATGGGCTGTTGGTGCATTAAAACTTGAAATAGGGCAACGTCAATCTCAGTTTATCATTTTTCATTAACAGAAAAGGTTAAATAGAAATGCACCAACAACCTACTGACAGTATACAGTTTACCTGTATAATGTAACAAGAACATGTAACGTTACCTTGTGGATCCTCACAATGTGTGTTTTTCCCTGGAGTCCCTTAACAAAAAGCGTCAACATGCTGCAATCCACGTCAGCTCTGAGTTCCACAATTTTTGACTCAATCTCAGTGATCCTCTGGTCCTGGTCTAAGTGTGATGTATCAGCCCCACCTATCTCCTTCTGTGAGCATTGCAGGCTTCCCCTAACGTCTTGGACCTCACGAACAATGTCGTCAAGCCGCCTGTTGGTTGTCACCATGAACGTTTCCATGAAGGAGTTGAAGTTCTTCTGCTGGAGATCCATGAGAGTTGTGAACTCCCTCTTCTGGTTGTCGAGAAGTTCCCGTAATGTTGACATGTTGACGACATCTTCTTCCGAGTCGAGACCATTCCGCTTTCGTTTCGCCATGATGAGACTATGTGATTCAAGTATATACGTATTGCACAATGCACGAATAAGCAAATGAAATAAGATTGGGACCTTGTTCACCGCTTGCAGTTCCACTGCTATGTGCCAGGTGACGCTACTACACGCTGAAAAAGTTAGGGCGCTTCTGACAAGTCCGGACTGGACCGCTTTTTCCACAAACCCAACACGGCACGGGACGGCCACCTACGAAGTTTCCTACAAAAATATTCTTTCGCGCTCACGGAGAGATTTCTCGTCAAACTATGATGGCTCAGCACACAGAAATATCCCAGTTTAAAGTCAGGTGAGTCTACAGCTCCAAGTCTTTTACTGGATGTCGACCCGATGTCGATGCTGACCCGATGAGAAGTGTTTTAGTGGGGAAAATCGAACAGTTCCTACCGTGCCGAAGTTACTCCTTGTTACTCTTTGCCGCCATTTTGAGTCGTGACGTCACGGAGCCGAAACTCAGCAGGAGTGGTGCACACGTGATAGCCTCTACCAGGCTTCAGAAGTGGCTGCAAGAGTACGAAATTGGTCAAATAGACGATTGATAAGCTGTGTTCAGAGCGCGTCAAACTGCACTCCTTTAGCGAACTATTTGTTTTTAAACTCCACTGGCATGTTTTCTGTCTATTTGTCCAATTTCTACTCTTTCCAGCCACCTAAAAAGCCTGGTAGTGGCTACGAAACTATGAGCTTCTGACTTCAAGCTTCAGGACTTTCAAAACTGTATCAGATGCCAGGTGAGGATACAGACATTCCCAGGGTATGAAGTAATGGACGGTCAGTGACACGCGACATTCCTGTTCAGTGTTCCGCATTACTGAACTAGACTGTGTGCCCGGCTCTGTATAACATATGACCTTGGACTATCACGTCGGATTTTTAACGGTTTCAGTTGGATGTTTTTTCTCACTCCGTGCATCAATTTTACCTGTTCCAGTCCAGTCCGGACTTGTTTAATAGACGTGCCCACTTTTTTCTGCGTGTAGTAGCGTCCCCTGGCACATAGCAGTGGAACTGCAAGCAGTGCATAATTGAAAATTTGAAACGGGATGTCAACCTTTAAACATGCGAAACCGTTCTTCTGCACGATACGTTACGGGTTTCACGCTAGTGCAGTACTTTCTGCCGACGCTGGTTGAATATAGTGATAATACTGATGTCGTATGAATGTTACATATGTTACATACACAATATATGACAATTTCGCTATTCAATGATGGTTTGAAGATGACAAATGTGAAATGCTTACAATATATGTGCAGTCAATCATTGTGTGCATATAATGTCTTGTCATTCCACTTGTCTTCCACTGTCACAGTTTCTCCTATCAATTCACAAATTTAAGACACAGAAACTGAAAACCGGTGAAAAGTCTTACTCTAAACACAACTGACGTCTTGTGAGAAAAATTCAAGAGCTGTCTACTCGCGCCATGACAGTACTGGGTAGTGTCTTCCTCTGTTTTGAGTCTGTGTTTAAGGATAGCCCTAACTCGGGTTGGGTTGCAGGCCGGTGCCATCCTAAGCAAATAACGGACTCTGTAGTAAAGTTTTCCGTCAACACGGCCAACAATACGCCTCTCTTTCAGAGACGAGTCCATAAGTCATCTATTATGTTTGTCGTCGGCTGTTGCACAAACTCAGAATCGGGGACAAAGGTCATAGGGACTGTTACCTGTCGTCAGGTGCCATAGTTTTCACTTGCTGTTCTTCCTCTTCCCGCCATTTTTGGACAGTGTTGACAACATCTAACAACAGGTAGGGGTGGTTAAGACTGTCATACATCTACTGTTGTCCTCAGTTCATATAAACGTTTTCTTTTTCACAGCGCAGTTAGTCAGTGAAGTCGCTAAAGTGGCAACAAAGCATAGCGCAGTTTCTAGGACTTGATTCAGGCTCCGCGGCCTAGCTTCGCACGTATATCCTTTGCCAGTTTATACATTTACACATTGTGTGTGATTGACTATATCATAGTACATTGTGTCACGCTGTATCTGTGCGTCTCTTAGGCGATGTTTACCTACCTACATTATGATAGCCTATATAAGATGTTCGTCATGTAACAATGTCGCATTGACTAGCCTCTACCAGGCACCGCGGATCGCATGAAAAATAGTAGAAATTGGCCGAAATAAAGGGATAGTATACCAGAGAAGATCACGAGCCATAGAAGATCTTCTATGGCCCGGGATCTTCTCTCCTCATTTTTCCAGCGATCCGTGGTGCCTGGTAGAGGCTAGCATTGACGGCATTTGCTCTTGTGGTTTGTTTGTGCGGATTTTATGGTTATGGATAGGCGAGTGTGTATGTAACACCTGGTAACCGCACGGAGCAAGATTTTAATCTCGGGACGTGTTTATACAATAACACAGTATGTTTCCCTCTGACATAGATACGAGGTTACACATGTCTTCAGGGTGTCTTTGTCACGCCTAGGAGCTTTGCGGGGTTCAAACGTGTCAAAAACAATGATTCCTACCTTTACCGGGACGCATAACGACCGTTAACAGCCGTTATAACTGTGAAAAACACATGTACGTCAGTCACCAATTTTCACGCCCCCTGATCATTTAGTGACGTCGTACCTTGCCTCACGTAGAAGTTTGTGAGCAGCAAGTTGCACTCTCTAGGGAACCAATTCCCCTGGCATGTTAGCTCTCTATATACGTTTCTATATCTTTGGTAGTTTCAGAAGCGACAGGAAAGAGTAGAAATTGACCAGGTAGTTTCAGAAGTGACAGGAAAGAGTAGAAATTGACCAGGTAGTTTCAGAAGTGACAGGAAAGAGTAGAAATTGACCAGGTAGTTTCAGAAGTGACAGGAAAGAGTAGAAATTGACCAAGTAGACCGATATAAATATACCAGAGGAGTTGGTCCGCTCAAGGAGGTTTAAAATCAAACTTGTCTTCAACCTCCTTGGTCCGCTAAAGGAGTACAGTTTGCCGCTCGTCTCTTTCCAGCCACCTCAGAAGCCTCGTAGAGGCTACATCTTTTTAGTATGGGTACCATCCTCAGTTGTTTACGTCCGCTCAACGTTGGTGGGAGCGAATGTGGGAGCAGACGTATAAAACTAACCAGGATGGTACCCAAGGTAACATCTTTTGTACTTAAAACGGTTAACTGTTTTTTTTTCTGTTCATGACAGATGTAGTGAGAATGGAGGCCTATTTGAAGACCATAGGCTACGAAGGACGAAGAGACGTCACACCGAACACCCTCAAGGCCCTGCAGGCTGCGCATGCTCGGACGATTCCACTCGAAAACCTGGGGTTCATGTGCGGAGAAAAGGTGCTGCACTGCCCCCTGGCGGTCTGTAGAAGAATCGTCCTAGGTATGGTACGCTTATGCTGAGGGCACATTTCCACACAGGGGCCCGGCCGGGCAGTCCAATGGAACGAAAAGTATGATATAAAAAAAGACAACAAAGTACAAAAAAGTTGAAAAAATTTAATCATGGGAATCATCCGCGTATATCATTGATATTTTTCGTTAATCGAAGCAGCCCGGCCGGGCCCCGGTTTGGAAATGTGACCTCAGCGCATTAGATCGTGTGTTGAACTTGGACATTGACCAGGTCAGAGGTCACTGTTTGGAAAAGAAGAAGAAGAGGAAACTGAACAAAAACAATATGTTTTCCTTCGGTAAACATAATGACTAGGCATTGAGCTAGAATTTACGACAGACATATGATTATGCCATAAGATTGCAGTGAATGTTTGTTTGTTTGTTTGTTTGTCCATTCTCTATCCGCGTGTTCCAGGCGGGCGTGGCGGGGCCAGTCCTGAGCTGAACGGCGCGTACTGCTGGCTCCTGCAGCAGCTGGGGTTTCAGGCTAACCCTAGACAGTGAATGTTTGTTTGTTTGTTTGTTTGTTTGTTTGTTTGTTCATCCTCTACCTGTGTGTTCCAGGCGGGCGTGGCGGGGCCAGTCCTGAGCTGAACGGCGCGTTCTGCTGGCTCCTGCAGCAGCTGGGCTTCCAGGCTCACCTGGTGGCCTGTGAGCTCTACGACCACCAATCCGGCAGCTTCCTACCAGAGGTATTCACTTATGTCTGTCCTCACCCTTCCAGAAATGTCAAGACGGAAATTAAAAAAGGCTAAAGACGCAATAAGACATGAGACGGCCATTGCCACTCACGGCGCGGACACATTCGTCGTAGGTTGTCGTGCGACACACACTAGACTATCTCAAGAAGGTCGCACGATCTTACGACGAATGTAACTGGGCCCTTATTGTTACGTACATACTTTCCTACAATAGTCATGTCATCGTTCCATTCTGCATAACTTCATTGAGCATAGATCATTAATATTGAGCAATTTCCCGTTATATATTATAAAGAATGGCAAGGGGCCTATATTGTTCAACTTCTACCTGGTCTTATATCTACATCATTACTAAGAAGCGAGAAGAAACCAAATTATCGTAATTATTAGACTATATGTCCATAGTACATAGAATTAGCTTGTACATTGTATATATTCATTGCAAACTGTAAACAAACTGTGTCTTTCTTGTGACCTGTACTGAACCCAGTGGGTATTTGCGTACAATAAAGGTCTTCATTCATTCATTCATTTATTATGTATTTTTTGTTTTTACACACAGGGGTCTCACATCGCAGTTCTGGTCGCTCTCGGTCGGAAGCGGTATCTGACCGACGTTTCGTGCCCGACGTTTTCCAAAGAGCCGATGGTCATCGTGCCCCACAAGGTCCAGACGGACGCGGTCGGCAGCCGGCACCGCTTCCGCCGCCACGACGAGATGACGTGGTCCTTCCAGAAAATGTTCTACACCGGATTCGAGGGACCTCTTTTCGAGGACTGCGACGTCGCTCCCGATCCAAACCCTCCCTGGACGACAGTCTACAGACTCTCCCTCTTTCCCTGCGTTTTGGAAGACTTCAAGCACCTAACGACTGTGTTTTACCAAAATGTCAAGTCGCCGAAAGGCGTCAAGCTATTCTCATCGCAGAAGGAACCCCTGATTATGAGACACACCGTAAGAGGGAAGAAGTTTCTACTTGGGAAACGTTTTTGCACGGTGGTGTATAAAGAGGGCGTGGCCAGAAAAACCGTGACCGACATCGACACGTCAGAGGAGCTGGCTGACGTCATCTGGCGCGAATTCGGAATCAGGATGTTCGATGAAAAACAGCTGATGGCCAAAATTGACTTGTTGTTCGAGCGCAAAGTGAGAAGATCCAGCATCTAACAACGAATGATTGTATTATCACATTACAATGTTGCAATGAACGAACTAGACGTTTATACGACAGAAGAAGAAAATTCTTCAGACAGACCTCAGAAAGAAATGACTCAAAGCCTTTTCCTGAAGTAACCTTGTTTTTTTTATTTTAACGTTCACTGCAGTGAAATTTTAGTCCGATTATTAATCTAGAAATTGCACAAATTTATTACGCTCTTATGGTCTTACATGGTAGCCATTTCCGGGATATTAAATGTAAAACCAGTTAATTATAATTGCGAAGGTTATATGCTTTAACGTTAAAACGTCTTATATGCCATACCATAGGGACAGAGTCTTTGCATTCTTGATATGCACACTAATGATCGACAATGCAAGTATAACATAAACATACAAATAAAGTCGCAAACACTATTTTTCACTGCTGTGATGAGAGCTTCTTCGCCTCTTCCCCAAATTCCACGGCCTCTTCAGGCATTCCAACATTGAACAGAGCCGTGGCGACAATGTACAGTCCTAACACGATGTTGGGGTGACGGGAATCCTCTCCATGAATGTCTCTCATCATCCTCACACCCTCCGCCCCGCGGTGTATCGCATCCACGGAGTTCCCCTGCTTCAGCAACGTCCCAGCAAGGCTTATTAACAGCTCGGCGAAGTCTAGACTGGGTCTCGGACCGTAGATAGTCTCGAACAGGCTCCTGGCCCTCTCGTAATGGGCGATAGCCTCGCCCAGGTCGCCTGACATGTGATGGGCGTTCCCGACTGTAGCCATGGTGGTGCCTGCCAGCGCTGTGGGTGATCGGTCTCTCAGGATATCGAGAGCTTCTTCGAGATGCGTCAGCGCCGTCGTTGGTTCTTCTTGTAAGAGATTCGAGTAGCCAAGGGAGCTCAGAATGGCGGCTATATTGTACGCGTCCTTTCTGTTACACCTCACAATCTCCAAAGCCTGTTCGAAGTACGCTATAGCATGTTTGCTTTCCTTCTTCATATTACAGACAACGCCCATGTGAAAGAAAGCATCCGACAGGAGTTGGGGACTTTCGTTCTTCAACTGTTCCGCCATTTCAATAGCCTCTTTCAAAAGTTTCTCGCTGAGTCCCGGGTCTCCAAGTTCTCCCAAGCAAGACGCCAGAATCATTGTCGCTTGGACGGTTTGCGGGTGTGGTCCCGGACCATGGATAGATTTGGATATTTCCAAGTCCTTTCTTGCATGGCTTGCTGCTCGTTTGAGGTCTCTGGCTTTCCACATACTAAACCCGAGGACTCCAGTCCAGTGCGACACCGTCAGATGATGATCATCATCTCCATGCAACGCTTTAGCCATTCTGAGGCCTTCCTCTGCCAGTGCGACCGCCTTACTATGATGTCCCATCTTGGTATACACAGAACTCATGTTCTCCAAGATCGGTAAGTACTTAGGGTGAGCCACGTTAGGTCCGTACATTCTTCGCAGAATTGTCCAAGCTTTCTGTAAACAGTCCAGAGCCTCCGCGAACTTACCGGCGTTGGTAAACGACGCCCCGAGGTTGTTCTCAACCGTGAGGGACAGTTCAGAAGCACCTTCCCGGAGAGTTACAAGAGCGCTCCTGGCCTGCAGGCAGTACTTTACTGCTTGGAAGTAATCTCCACGTCTGTTTGCAAGTACTGCCGTGTTCAATAGCGTGGCAACATATTCTGGTGACTCGGTCAGGTCGTCTAGATGTTGCTCTAGGCACTGTTGAGCTTCTTTCTCTTGTCCTGCGGATAGAAAGGAGTGACTTAACGATAAGGACAGAAGTACGCGGGATAAAGCTGACTGCTTGTCAGGTTCCTCGCGGTTTAGAAGTACAGCGAGCGCCTCTTGATGTTTTTCGCGGTATCGCAATGAAAGTAAGTAACTGTGTAAGGCTATGTCATCGGCGGGATTGTCCTCGACAGCGTGTCGTAGGGCCGCCTCGGCCTCATCGCATTGCCCCAAACGAAGGTTGATCAACCCTTTTGTCAAAGTCGTGTCATCGAAAAGATTGTGGTCTACCAGAAGTTCAACAAGACTTGCCTTCATGGCGTTTTGGTCGCTCGATTGCCGAACCTTGCTGAGCACCATCTGTAAAGGGAGAACCGTGTGATAGAATCGCGTGAGCGGCTTGGTGTTTTGGAGGTTGAAAGTTGATAATACGTCACTCGTGTCTAAGTCGACGTCATCCCGCAGTACAAAGCTGGGGGTGACCGTCATGGCGTCTCTCTGTGCTCCAGAGGCCAGGTACCTACGCAGGCGCAGTGCCAGAGCTATACACACAGCTATCTTCAAGTTGTGAGCCGCAGATTCGGTGATGACGCCGTTTTGTCTCAGCCTTTCCACGATGTCCCACGAAGAGTTGTCAAACACGCCACAGCAGATCCCTAACGCGCTAATGATGGCGGTGGGAAAACGGTAAATCTCTCTTTTCACTTCGTAAGAGCGGCCGACATTTAGAAGTCCCAAGTAGATTCCTTCCTGTGCTTTCAGATTAAGACCAGACATCAGCGCTTTCCAATGCCTACTCGGTTCTTCTTCTGTGTCTTTACTGGTGACTGAAGTTGCACCTTTCTCTGCAGTTGTCAACTTCAGGTTTTCACCATAGAGGGATGACTGTATGGTATCTCTCACCATTCTCTGGTATTCCTCCACCAAGGCAAGACTGCCTGCAACATGGGTCACCTTAGCCAGTACGTCCGCCAGGTGGTAGCCTTCTTTTACGGCTCGGTCTTCCTCCTGTATCGCTGCCATCTGGGACGGAGTCAGGATCAGCTCTAGTGCCGGTTTCTCCTTCGTGGCCGCTCGTCCCAAAGGCGTCTTGCTGGCCCACGGCATGGCGCCGTCGAACGCGAACCCTCGGGGCGTCACGGAGTCGTAGTACCAGTCGCGGGAGACGTCCCCAGAAGAGTGGTCGTTCAAACTGCGGATGGACATGGCCGGGAGGATGGTCTCCCCGAGGTTGATGACCTTGATGTGCAGCAGGTTGGTCAGGTTACGGAAATACGTCAGCACGCGTTCGGTACAGACCGCAGCCGTTTCCGGTCGAACGTGTCGAACACCCTGTTGTCCCATTTCGAACAGGGGGCGGGGCTTATGGTGTTCGATAGAGAACAGTATGTTCTTACCTTCGAATTTGAATTCTTCGATAAGAATGGCGAATTCGAAATCAGAGAAAGGTGTCGTTTCCTCGCGTGCTAGAGAGCCCAGACCGATCAGGGCATATTCACAAGGCGGCTGGCCCATAACCTCTATGCACTCTTCCACAAGCCCACTTATGAAACCTTTTATGTTGTCAGCAAGTTCACGATAAAGGTGATGAACCTTTGAAGCCCACCTGTACTCTTCTGTCATCACCGATACATTTTCCATTGGGTTGTCATCAAAGCTGCAGCATTCTCGTTCGCATACCATCAGGCGCTGGAAAGCAGTTTCCCGTATCTTCTTCAACTGCAACCTGTGGTCCTGTTCCAGTAGCTCGGATGATGGTGGTGACTTTGACCCTACGCATTTCAAGAATAATTTTTCTACGAGTTTTGTTCTGTGAGTCAGAACGTGTAGGCGGCTTGTTTCTCCCATTTTGCGTACCATGGCCATGGCTGCGTTGTACAAGGCAGCTGCCCTTGTAAGGTCAATGACCCGCTCGCGAATGGGAAACTGTTTGTCCCGCGCCTTCTCGAGATAGACATCTCCCAAACTCTGTAGGCACTCGGCCTGTAGACAGAGGTTTTTATCCTGTACCGCGTCTCGCAGCAGCTTGGCGTAGCTGTCCTCGGCTTGAAAATGGTTCCCTTTCGTTAGCTGCTCGTCTGCAGCCGAAAACACGGCAGCGTTCAGCATTTTGTTGACTAAAACGATTTGCCCTTGATCGAGTGTAACTGATTGTGCTGGCTGCCCTCCCCCATGGTTGGATTCGAGCCAGCAAAACGCTCAACGCCCCGTGTTGAGCCAAATCTTTTAGCTGCTACATACGTGAGAAGTCAGGTGTTAGATTTAGGGTTGGTATCGAGTTAGGGTTAGAGTTATGGGTAGAATTGGGATCATTGTTCAGGGCTAGGATTTAAGACTTATGATTGGGTTAGGTTAGGTTTATTCTCCCACATCACGACTTAACCCCTCCACCCCTTGTCTCAGCTATATTGGAAACCGCCCCTCAGTGTCGGAATCATGTATTTGGCAGGATCATGTATATGGCCTGACACCGGGCTCCCCACTCGGAGCTAAAATTAGCTGTAAAGTCTCACGCCACGCATTCGGGGTTAATTAGGGTGGGTGTGCATTGTCGGGCCAGCCTCGAGCTACATATAGATGAGTAATGTAAACAGAAATCCAAGTAGACAGAGTCTGTGAATAGATCAATTCGACATAACACAGATGATCCGCCACCTTGCGAAATTGGAAATGGCAGGGGACATGCGCACTGTCATGATATCCCAGCATCCACGGCGGATGTGGGGCTGAATGTGACCCCAACTCTTTGGATTCTATAATTTGTCACTCAGCCACCTGGAATGTTATATGAAAATACCATCATATTATACAAATGTAGTATTGTACTATTATAGCAATTTGTGTATCGAATGAAATTTGAATTATGTAAAAAGTAATGTGATCGTCTGTTTTCAAATTTCAAAATACTATAAAACGCAAGGAAAATATTCTTTTCCATGCCTCACCTATAAAACTTGTTTCACGTATTGGCTTGAAAGCACCATCATTACGTTATAACAACTTTCCCCTCTCCAAAGCATAACATTATCCCAAAAACAACATCAATATTTGATGTGCCATCGCCCCTGGTAATTGGGGTCCTTTTCTTGTATCTGACATCGTAGAGGACTGAACGATCATCGCATTGTATCTTATCAGTCACGCGAAACATATGTGCGAACTCCGAAAACGTGAAGTGTCAATCCCATTTAATGATTTTGTGTGACGGGTCTATTATTGATAGGCAAGTTGGTACATGTCATAGCGACCATGACATAACGCGGATCATGGAGAGTAAGCGTAATGTTTTCAACTTTTAGTATCACTGCATTTACAGAGATCAACAGGTATTCTCCCTGGTTTGCCACATTTCTAGGAAGTATATGTGACCATAACATAACA